ACCTACTAAAAATTAGGCTTTTTGTTATTTATTATTTTTTTAACACCATTTGTTTTTTTCGGTCGATTGCATAATTCAACAAATTAATAAATAATTTAATAAATTTATTACATATTTTTACAAACATTAAAAAGAAATACCTTGATCCGTAGACACTTGATGTATATACTTTTATTCAACCTGAAAGTTCTTTTTTATAGAAAAATATAACATATAAACACTTTTTTGGAAAACCGATTGAAGTCAATAATCCAAAAACAATTGAAGGCCAATATCTGATAAAACACATGCCTATATACGTACGTACTTTCCAAATACCTCAAGAGCAACAATATTTGAAAGTATGACGGGAGTTATTACTACACTATTGTACTATCGTGCTGGGCTAGCTCGGAGCAAATCTCCCACTTGTTAAACATTTTTCTAGTAAAAATGTTATACAGACAAATTTCCATTAAAAGAAATACCGTGAAAAGCAAAATGTTTTTGAAGTTTCGTAACTAAGCACTACAGACGTGGGCATAACTTAAGAAGACTGTCAAATAAATATCCACTAGTTCTTGGCACCGAGCGTAGAGAAAACATTCTTATAATATGTATACGGGGTCTAGCTTTATCCGAGAATTGAAATTGAATTCTATTTTTGTACCGGTATTGGACAGTTTTATTTATCTTATTACATAACAAGTGAAGTACAAGACATGAATGATGATGGTTCAATGTGGTTAATTTTTAGCGATAACAACTGTCGACTTTGTTCTAGTAAAATTCGCTTGGCACAGACTTTTTTTATAATATCAAGTGACGGGACGAACATGTCGTGAGCCTGATGGTAAGCTACACGCCTGTCCATAACAGTTACAGTGCCACCCAGGCACTACCACCGCGCCCGTCACCCTGAGACATAAGTTGACAAGTCCCATGTGCCTGTAATTTCACCACCACCCTTACCCTGCAAAACCGGAACACGGTAATGCTGACATTACTGCTTGACGGGCAGAAATAGGTAAGGTGGCAGTAGTATCCTCTTTCACAAGGAGCTCTACTTGTACTAAATTTTATTTATTTGCATCAAGTACATACTCGATGTTGATATGTTACATTTTGCTTAGTTACTTACTAACATCATACACAACAACTTCTGTTTCATGGTTTTTAATAATTAATCAGATTTTCCTTTCGTACAAAAATAAAAATATTGAAATACACTGCTCTAACCGGTGATAACTCTGTGCAGTGGCAAAACGGTGACAGCAAGCATGAGACGTTGCTAAACTTACTAACAAATACAGATCTATAAAGCGTCGGATACTACAACAAATTTTAAATAGAAAACCACCATAACTCACGTAAAATTTAAGACGAGTCACCGGAAAAGGAGCGCGAAAAACTGTTTTTCTAGACCAAATGGTTTAGATATTTACTATTAAATAACGATCTTACAAAAAATATACGATACATCTAAGGATATTATCTAAAGAATGCTTATTTGTTATACGATAGGATGTACTTTATCTGAACATGTAAAATCCTGAAAACGGACTATAAAAGTCTAAAATGAATTATTTCATCATCTTCAATTATCACATTATTTTCAGTCAGTCGCCATATTGGGTGCTTGTGGACGTCAAATCTGTGTCAAATTTTGTCCACCTCTTCTTATTTTACTCATATTAATTTACACCGCGCATATTGGATTTGTAGCATCTGAACCCGGGGTCGGTTTAAAGTTGTAACGGAACACCAATGAGCCCAAATGCGAGTATCGTGTGATCCTGGGACTGATGGTTTGTCAAAAATAATTAAATTTGATTCAGTTGCACCTCGAGAGATGACATTAAATTTGTATCGTCTGCAGAACGCAAAAGGCGACCCGCTACAAATCCCCTCCTAAAAATTTAAGCTCGCATTGAAATACCTCACCTTATGTGTATGTGAATTGTTTTCCGTACTTAATCGGTCTTATTATGTATTTCAGAGTATATTTTTTTACAAACGAAATTAAAGCCATTTGAAAAATGTACATCGTATACTCTGAAATCTAAAAGGAAATATCTATTTAGTTCAGTTGATGTAAAAAAAAAAATTGGTATATGTAAAGTACCTATTGAATACAACGGTTTTCTTGTAAATTTTCGAGGTAAGTTTGTGTTTAATTTCTATAACGAAAATTTTAAGAATCGTGTTTTCACACCGTATTACTAATCAGTGTATATCCTCAATGTTACTATATATTATTTCCAAAGAAGCCATTTCAGATTGTATCGGCTATTAAGCCGAATTTTTGCTCGTCATGTTTTTTTTTTGGTCACTCAGTAATCCCAGCTCAGCTGCGTCCGCAGACGTACTGAGTGACCGGGCTGTCAGGACTTTCGCGCGCAGTTTTCGGCGAGTCCCACCGCGGTATCTTATGATTAATGACCAGTAACCGGTTCAAAACAAGCCGAATAAAAATTCGACTTAAATACGTAAGTTATCCATTCGTTTAGGAATGTATCTCTGTCGCAAGGTGGTTTTAGATTTAAAAATGACAATTCTGAATTACAACAAGATATTATTCAAAAACAAATATCAATGTACTTATATTAAATAATTACAATAACGTGTCAAACAAATACACCAATTACCTTTTTTTTATAATAATAAGTGATGGGACGAACAAGTCGTGGGTCTGGTGGTAAGCGACACGTCTGTCCATAACAGTTGCCGTGCCACTCAGAGCTTTAAATCGCAAGGATCTGAGGGGCACTGCCACTGCGCCCGTCACCCTGAGACATAAGTTGACAAGTCCTATGTGCGTGTAATTTCACCAGCACCCTTATCTTCAAAACCGGAATACAGTAATGCTGACATTACTTCTTGGCGGCAGACATAGGTAAGGAAACTAGGAAATTCCCTGTGCTATGAGTACCAGAGCAACGGAATTCAGTCTGGGCCACTTCCCAGAATACCCAGATCAGAACCAATTTAGAAATTTCGTTTCCAAATTAGTCCTACCGGGAATCGAACCCGGGACCTCCACATCCAGTGCCCAAATCGTTAGGTCACCGAGGTTGTCAATATGCAAAATACAGTGCAAACTACTGGCATGTTTTTGTAAAATCGAACGTTGTTTAGATTTATTTATTATTCCGCCAGGCGCAATCGGAAAGGGTTCAAATTTATTTTCATTTCGAATAAAATACTAGAAACTTTTATAAAATAGAAAATTTCTAGGAAAAAAGCTTCCTTTGTCTCTGATTGCGCACAAAAATATATTGAAGAACGTTTCAAATGTTATCGTGTAATTTGTTCCATAAATGCAAAATTCCAAAATTGCTACAACTGGTAAACTGGAAACGAAGGTGTTTTTTCAGATGTACCTTACCTGATATATGATCCGAAACACATGGTTAAATTTCCAATATAAATATTCTATAAAAGAGTTTCTTTTGAAAATAATGCTGAACTCTTCCAATTTTTAAGTATATAATTTGCAAGTGTTCCTTGTAAGTAAAAAAATCCATTTATTGTTGATATTACCTAAAATTCTATTTATTTTTATCATTAGTTAGACTTCTAATTCTGTGTTAATAATGTATAATTTGTAATTTAGGGACAAATTTTGTGCCCGCAAAATTTTGCAGTGCCCAATTTTTTTTTTACGCACACTATCAACATAGCCCCGCACTAGGGAAACCCTGTGTCGCGGGTGCCATGGACACACACATAGACAACCACAAATTACACCCAAAGTCACGAGAGAAATTAATGTAGGCCATACAAATATTTCTCCCGGCCCGGGATTCGAACCTGGGACCACTGCGTGGCAATTCGGCATGGTAACTGTTCGGCCACAGAGGCAGTCATGTGGGATATTACATGTCAAGCACCTACATTAACTGAAGAATACCTGTTTTATAACCATGTGATTTGCAAATAAAGAGTATGAATATTCATACTCTATTTCTATATTATATAATAATCGCAAAAACCTAAAATCCTGATATGCTATCTCTTGATTATGTAGTGTGATATGGTTTCTTTTTTACAAAAAAGCGCCGAATGCTATTAAATTATCTCTTTAACAAAATGTTCACAGGAAACCATTAAAGTCAGTACTGAGCGGAATTTGGATTTAGTCTAGTGAGTCATGAGATTCGGCCATTCATTCTAATTCCGACCGTTTGTAAGTTCTTCAATTAATTAGTGTACGCAGTAGGAAAGTGTCTTCGTATAGCAAACATTAAGGAATCCTTTAACAAGTTAGTGTAGCGAAGTGTCCAAAGTTGGAAGTTGGTAGAGCGTGAGAAGTTGCCGTGGAAGTCAAGAATTAGCAAGGACATTAATAAGCTCGTTGCTTCAGACGTGCCACCGTACAAATACCAAACAACTATCTTATTAAGTGCCTCCGTGGCCGTACGTTTACCATGCCGGATTGCCACGCAGAAGTCCTAGGTTTGATTCCCGGGCCGGGAGAAATATTTGTATTTGTATTTCGGTGTAATTTATGGTTGTCTATGTGTATGTCCATGGCACCCGCGATACAGGGTTTCCCTAGTGCGGAGCTATGTTGAGAGTGTGCGTTATTCGAGCATAATAAGTCATGTAATCATAAAATTGAAATTTTTTTTAATATTTTTACGATACTTTATTACGAAAACTAACGCGGCTATCACACAATATAGTATAAAAGTAACGGGACTTAATCGCGTAGTATTTTAGTCGGAAACGGTTTGACTAGTTTCAACCACAATCGATTATTACGATATATTCAATAATACGTTTTAAAGATTTATATTAACACACTTGTCGGAATAATGGACCGCAAATTGACACAATGATCTTCAAGTTTAATGTCCCATCAAGTGAAAATTGGCTTCATCAGTAAGTATTCATGGAAAACCTCGTGCATAATTTCAGTAATATACGAGTAGTTATGAAAAAGTTATTCTAATGTGTGATATTAGTAATAGTGTATTATTGTCTAATTTCTGAGGTGTTGTAGTAGTATCACTTACCTAATGTCATCATCGTCAGGATGATGGTCTGGTGGCAAGTCAGGCCGGAGGTCTCCGAGCGCCCGCGCCGCGTGCCTCCTCCGCCTCTCATACCACAGCCTCCTTTGTTCCCTCTCATTGTCTCTTTGTACTCCAAAGAATGTCTGCGTCTCTCGTTTTAAATAATCCCGCACGGCTACTGTATGGACTCTTCGTAATCTGACACCGTCTTCTTGCGCAGGAGGTGGTGTTGGATCTGGAGGGGGCTGAGAGGGCGCGGGTGGCGCCGAGACGATGCGCGGGGGAGACGCGGGTGCAGGGAGCTGTGGCGCCGACGCAGCGTTTGGTGGTGACGAGCTCTGGCATGGGAGCTGTGGCGCCAGGAGCCCCGCACTTGATCGCCTGCAACAATTAAATCAAGGATTAAGATACTCCAGCGCTACTCATATAAATATTAGACTTTTTTCATACGCAACAGTACTCAACCAGACAAGAACTTTGTTCTTAAAATTCACAATTGTGACATCGTCGGCAAACTGTGTTTGCCCAATCATTGCTAAAGTTGATAAAACTAAGTACCTCGGTGTTTGTTGTTCTAGACCAAAATTTATCAAGGTTTACCCTCATCTAGACTAAGTGTCTAGCAGAATTAGGAAGTCTATCTGGATTTTTAAAACGCACAGGCACTCTGCAAATAAAGATCTGTTAACAAAAATCTATATTGCCTTAACTCAATCAGTGATAACATACTGCATTACAATCAAAACAAATCAAATCCATTTTATTCGTTATCATGGGTACAATAAAGATGATAACATTTATTTTATGATCGCCATGACGTACCATCAAGGCTTACGAATTATACTATTATTATTAATTATACTTGTCCAATACTTCAAAATAATAATAATAATAAAAAATAACAATAATAATAATCATCAAATAGTCATAAATCACTGATTATAGGCTTCCACCTTCACAGGAGAGTGAAAAACCAAGTCTTAAAATCTACAACAGTTAGAACATCAAAACAAAAGTAAATTAATAAAGATAATAATCAATGTAAATAAATCAATGTCATACAGTCACATTCGTCTCAATAATAAATAATAAATTAATTAATGTGAAATTAGTTAACAAAATTCCTTTAATGTATAAAATGATTTTTCAATTAAATACTCAAATAATGTGCGTTTAAATTCCGCGATATTTTCATTCTGCCTTAACTGTAATGGCAATTTATTATAGATTTTTGGTGCCATTACAATTATACTGTTCTCAAATAGTGACGTTTTACAATTTATTTGGCGTAGTTGGTTAGGACGTCGTGCTCTTGTAACTACAGGAAAAAGTTGAGTGTGTCGTCGTATAAATAAGGCTCTTTCATAGATATACAATGAACGCAAAGTCAAAATTTTTAGTTCTCGAAAATAGTTTCTGCAACTGTCGGTCTGTTTCAGTCAATAGATTGCCCTTATGCACCTCCTTTGAGCTCGAAAAACTTGTATGATGTTGCTACTATTACCCCAAAATAAAATACCATATCTGAGTGTTGCAGCTACATAGCTGTGGTAATCTACAAGTAAAGCGTTTTTGTTTACCACCTTAGACAATTTAAAGAGAGTGTACGAGTGTTTCGATAGCTTGTTACATATTATTTGAAGTTGTTCCTCCCATTGCATTTTCCTATCAATGTGAAGTCCAAGGAATGTGGTTCCCGATGCTTTACCGATAACACGAGAGTTATAAATTAATTTGTTTGTCAAAGAGTTATTGCCCCTTTGCTTGAAATTCATAATTGTCGTTTTGTCAAGATTTAGTAATAAATTATTAAATTTAAGCCATGTCAGTACATTTATTAGGGATTCTGTTATTTCAGTCTCATTTTCAAATAAAATAGTACAGTCATCAGCGAATAAAGTTACGTGATTTGGAATTGATTTAGGCATGTCATTAATATAAATAATAAACAGCAATGGACCTAAAACACTACCTTGTGGAACCCCATATTTTACTAGTCTAGGAGAAGATTCGTAAATAGTTTCTGTTTTTGTAGTTAAAGAAATTCGACTGATTTGTGTTCTGTCACTCAAATATGATTTTAATAAGTTTTAAGTATTTCCACGTATATCATAAATTCCTAATTTATGCATTAATATATCATGATCCACATAGTCAAAAGCTTTTGACATGTCCATGTACAGTGCTATTACAGGTTTTCTTTTGTCCATTCTACTGTAAATAATGTTAAAAAATTCATATATTGCGAGATCAATGGATTTATTCTTACGAAATCCTTTTTGTTCGTTACAAAATATATTATTTGTTTCAAGGTAGTCATAAATACTTTTAGAATTAACCTTTTCAATAACTTTTGAGAATACAGGTGTTAACGCTACTACAGGTCTATAATTTTTCAAATTATTAGGTTCGTCTTTTTTAAGAATTGTTTTAATAATGGTTGTTTTTAGTTTAGATGGAATACCCCTTGGTCTATGCTCAAGTTAATAATGTGACTTAAAATAGGTGAAATTAATTCAGATACAAATTTAATTATTTTTGTACTTAACCCATCATATCATGTACTGTTTATGGTCTTAATATCTCTTTTAATTTTACTGATCTCTTCCGGGCTAACAGGTCATAAAAAAAATTATTTGTATCCATCATATTTACAAAGTTTTACACTATCGTGTGAGCAACAATTCACTGGTTGTACCTGATCTATAAAATAATCATTGAAATTTTGAGCAATCTGAGTTGGGTTTGTAATATTTGTTCCATTTACAGTTATTTTTGTAATGTTATCCTTTGCCATCTGCTGCTTAGTACTATTAATAACGGCCCATATTGCCTTTGATTTATTTTTAAGTATATAATAGTTTTTGTGATGTTTGCGTTAACTTTAAAATTCTTTTAAATTTAGAAGAGTAGTTACGAAATATTTCCAAGTCATGTTTTGAAATTCGATATTTCCATAACAAATTTCTTCTACGCTTACTGCATTTTTTTATGCCCTCCGAAATCCACTTGGGTTTTAATTGAATACTAATTTTTTTTCTCATAAAAGGGAAGCATAAATCGTACGTTAGTTTGAATAAATTAAAGAACTCAGTAAATGCTTTATCAGCGTCATTGGATGTAAAAACTTCATTAAAACTTAACTGTGCTAGATGTTGGCCAAATTCGTGCATGTTATCCTTATTATAGTCACGTCTCATTACGAACCAATATTTAAATTTACAAGTTCTTTTTACGGGAATATTTAAGAGTTGTGCACTATGATCAGACATTTCCCAATCAAGAACTTCACTTTTGGCTCCAGAATCTGGGGTGGAGCTGTAAAAATCGAAATTCATACATGTAGAAAGAGCTCAGAGATCACTATTGAAGGTAATGTATTTCAAACCCTATAGATATCCCACTGATGACCTCTATAAGTTTGCCAAAATCCTGTCAGTGCGATAATTATATATAATTCTGGTGATTTTAAGGATCCACAAAAGTCAAAGTTATATGATGAGTTATATGACCCTTGCGTAGGTAGTGAAAAAAAAAAAAAATGCAATTTTGTGATTGCCTACGATACTATAAAAACAACCTTTGCTGGTAGACAATTTAGCAGACGTGCATCTTACCTGTACACTAAAATAAATAAAAATCTCTTGATTTACCCTTTAAAGACACACGATTGCAAAAAAAGTAGTATATGACTGGCTGCAGACTTTAAATTATGAACAGACGGAATCCCTTGTCTTCTTTTTACAACAGATCTACTGTACTCCTACATATTTTGCAAATTTACGTAGAGTTACGCAAACACACACGCATACACTCACACACACGTGCGCGCGCACACACATGGAAGAACGGGGTCTCCTAGCACAAGTAATTATTTTGCTTAAATGGAGTTCCCCAGCAAACTTGCTGTAAACTAGGTTTAAGTGAACGTAAATAAACACTTTATTTTTATTTTTTAGATTTAAGATACCTATGCAAATAACGTTCTATTTGCTTAGGTAACAAAAGAAGTGAGAATTCTGAAGTATGAAAAATGATGCCCATAAATGAGAAACCAAAAATTACCAATTTTTCATAAATTGGTGCTAAAGGGGCGCCGAATAAGTTGCACGAAACTCATTTTAACAAACACAAACTCAATTTACGATAATACGTTTTTATCAGTTGGCAGTTGCTTAATTGCTTCGCATCCAGAGATGGGCAAACGTCCGGGTTTTCACCCGACGCTTTGTTAATGCCGGTTTAAATCGAGTTAAAACCCAATAATCGAGGGCGAAAACTATTTACAGTTAAATATTTGTTTTAAATTGAGTTTTGAGAAATTTAATGATATTAATAAAATTTTTATTGAATTGATATTCAATTAATTTTTGTGAAATTACTCCACTAGTTTGTTATAATTATTAATACAAAGATCGAGCACTCAGAAAACACACTCAGAAAAAATTCCTTCGATCCGGTCGGATTCAAACCGACGTCTTCTTGCATACCGTGGCAGACGCTATACCAACTAAGCCACGAAACGAACCAACAGACCTCACGAATTTTTCTATGTGCTTGCGTCGTGTCTTTGTACTTGGTCTTTCAACGACTTTTTAGTCGTAGCGCCATCTATGAGAAATCTTTAATAGATTTATCACCCAGTTAGTACCTTTACAGCTACCAGTCCTGGCGAGAGATGTCGCTATTCACTGTATTAATTAAATTTTTATTGAATTGATATTCAATTATTTTTTGTGAAATTACTCCACTATGATTTAATGATATTATTACAAAATGTTAATTGCTTTCTGATCTGAATGATCCGATTGACCTTACTATTGGAATCGATTCGCTTGAAAATAGCATTGAAATAAATCGATACAAAAAATCGATAAATCGTATGCACTCGATAAATTGTAATGTGCATCCTTAGTAGTGAGAATCCAAAAGATTGCAAGGTGGGTAATGTACGACCTACATAGATATAGAAAAAAGGGGAGATATGGTACGGGGGCGTGGTTCGCGTCCCCTCGATATGATTAAACTGACCATATCGAGGTGACACGCCTACAAACATCGCCACAGTGATATGGCGATCGTTATACACACAAGATCTCTCGTAAAACATGAAAATGCCAAGTTGTAGCGATACACCTAGCAAAAATTGGAGTATAAACAAAAATTTTAAAACTAGTGAGATAACATTCAGCCGGCTATTTGCATTTTTAGTTACTATTTCTATTATTATTCAATGTTTTCTTTTTGTCTCCATAGAAATTTCTAGACTTAAATATAGTGATGTTCATTTATGAACACTGATGTTTATTTATCGACAATAATTTTTTACTGAAATGTTTAAATTTCTTACTACAATTTTTGTTATTAAAGTCCCTAACATG